TTCTCACTTTTGTCATTAACCCTGTTAATGGAGCCTATTACTTTAAAACACATCCCTGTAATATTACAGCTTTTTGTATTTCTGGGGCACTCCTGCTCATGTGAGTTTTATCAACTGTACCTGTGCCTGATGCGGCACCTACTATACAAGTAAAAGACGGTGACATGCTCACTTGTACTACAGCAGCCCCTGGTTGAAGCTAAAGGTAGATCTAAGTTTCTAAGTATTCCATTACGCATGTGCAACAGTACAACGCAAAGGTCTACGCAGGAACCTGGGAGAAATCAGGATCTCCATAGACCAACTTTCTTGATATGCGACAAGGTGCTGCTTGACATTGACAATACTCACAAGAAACTTCAATGTGGGTCAAGTTTTTTTTAAATTTAGGCTTTGACCATGAGACAAAGTAGGTTCTGTGATGGGACTGCTGCCTGTTCGTGAATTGCTGTGTCATATTCTGTTTATTTCCCTGTACTTTTTGTATGAATGTGCCTGCTCCCAGTTCGGGAGGGCCTACACGAAAGGGAATGCATTCCCCTCCCGAACGGGGACCCCCCCCGACAACTCAATTAGAATGTGGGTTTAGAACATTCGCACCTTGTAATGAGGTGTCAAAACCACAAACCGCAAGGGAAGCCTCGGCACGTGCCTCCGCTGGGTGACTGCCCATTCATTATATGAACGCCGTCCAGGGGGAGCATTCATGGATTGCTTCCCACCTTGTTTGGTTCCCGAAAAGGACCTCCCCAGTGCCCCTTGGAATGTTTGCACCAATCAATTAGAAAGTTGGCAACTTGCAACATAAGTGTGAAACCGCAAGGGAAGTAATTAATGAGTGCTCCACTGGGTGGCCGCCGTCCGTATAGATGGGCGGCGACCAGGGGGAGCATTAGTGTCCCGAAAGGAGACACTTCCCTTGCTTGGTTTCACCCAGGGACCCCGCAAACTGAGGCTGCTTGTGGCGGGCACTATTCTGGGGGACCCTGAGATTGGTGGGGACACTCTTTGGGGACAATGGCAGTTTGGCCGGCTTTCTGTGACTGGGAGTCCAGGAGGCGGAAAGCTTTCCTGCGTTGGGGCTCCCAGGTGCAGAGGCTCATGGGATAAAGACCCCCTGACCCCGGAGGTGGGAAACCCTGAGGATGGGTGGCGGGAACAGGGAACAAAGGGACTGGAGTTCCGTTTCCGTCAGGAGATCCCTGGTAGGGGGAGGACCCGGGGAAGAGACACTGAGTGGCGGGAACAGGGGACAAAGGGATTGGGGTTCTGGTTCCGTTATGCAACCCATGGGAGGTGGAGGACCCCGAGGTGGAGGGACATTGTCGTTATATGTGATCCACCCCTTGCATGGGGAAAGTATAAAGCCAAGTGTGGCCAATAAAGTCGTGGTTGTACCCCCAGGACTTTGTGTCGTCCAGTTACTGGGTGGGAGATTGGTCTTTCGGTATTTTACTTGTCTACCTTCTAAGGGCGGACTGGGCTGAGCAGGGGCAGCCAGTCGGGTTGCTAGGAGGCCTGCCACAGATTCTACTTTGTTTTATAATACCGATAGTTCAAATAGTTCAACAAAAGTCAAAGACAGTCAACAATATCAGAATATATAGATATTTGTTGCTTTTTGAAATACTCAAAATTGGCATGGTGGTGACAGGGTTGCCTTACGCATTATCTAAATCAATACTGGCCCTGTTTATTTCTTGGGGCAAGTAAGTGTATTTTAATAATGCATCTTGTACTACCTTCAGGTTTCCTCTAGTTATTATGGAATATATTCATTAAGATTAATTTACAATCTAATTTAGCTGGTTTAATGTTGGTTTAGGTTTACCTTTTATATTCCTATATTACATTTTTGGGTTTGCACATCGAGAGAAAGGAAACATAATGGTAAACTGTGTATTACAATGCCAATAATGCAATAAAAGGCTTATGGAAATATCATAATAAACCATAAAGACCAAAGGTCTCCATTCACATGTCACATTAGGGTTAGGGCTAAGGTTTGAGCTAGGACTAGGTTTAAGGCAGTAGTTGTGGTTCTTTCCACTCTTCTCCCGATAATCCCATGTTGGGAGAGAAGTTGGGTGACAGAGACAGTCCGATTCTGTTTTTGCATAATTATCATGAGACATCAGCCACTGCCGTAGAATGTAACTATTACAAATCTTGGGCATATAGGTCCCAGTGTTGCCCTGATATTGAGGGTTCCTGGATTGTATGGTGCACTACATATTTTAATTTATGATGTGATGTGCAGTAGAAATTGAAAACATAATCATTCCATTATAATAACTGCAGATAATGTAATACAGATTCTATTGGAAGAACGGAATGTTAACGCTATCAATTTTTGTTTGAAATAAACATTTGGTTTTACATTATTTACTGATACAATAACACATAAGTGCTCTTACTGCCTTTACAGGGAGTGCAGAATTATTAGGCAAATGAGTATTTTGACCACATCATCCTCTTTATGCATGTTGTCTTACTCTAAGCTGTATAGGCTCGAAAGCCTACTACCAATTAAGCATATTAGGTGATGTGCATCTCTGTAATGAGAAGGGGTGTGGTCTAATGACATCAACACCCCATATCAGGTGTGCATAATTATTAGGCAACTTCCTTTCCTTTGGCAAAATGGGTCAAAAGAAGGACTTGACAGGCTCAGAAAAGCCAAAAATAGTGAGATATCTTGCAGAGGGATGCAGCACTCTTAAAATTGCAAAGCTTCTGAAGCGTGATCATCGAACAATCAAGCGTTTCATTCAAAATATTCAACAGGGTCGCAAGAAGCGTGTGGAAAAACCAAGGCGCAAAATAACTGCCCATGAACTGAGAAAAGTCAAGCGTGCAGCTGCCACGATGCCACTTGCCACCAGTTTGGCCATATATATTTCAGAGCTGCAACATCACTGGAGTGCCCAAAAGCACAAGGTGTGCAATACTCAGAGACATGGCCAAGGTAAGAAAGGCTGAAAGACGACCACCATTGAACAAGACACACAAGCTGAAAAGTCAAGACTGGGCCAAGAAATATCTCAAGACTGATTTTTCTAAGGTTTTATGGACTGATGAAATGAGAGGGAGTCTTGATGGGCCAGATGGATGGGCCCGTGGCTGAATTGGTAAAGGGCAGAGAGCTCCAGTCCGACTCAGACGCCAGCAAGGTGGAGGTGGAGTACTGGTTTGGGCTGGTATCATCAAAGATGAGCTTGTGGGCCTTTTCGGGTTGAGGATGGAGTCAAGCTCAACTCCCAGTCCTACTGCCAGTTCCTGAAGACACCTTCTTCAAGCAGTGGTACAGGAAGAAGTCTGCATCCTTCAAGAAAAACATGATTTTCATGCAGGACAATGCTCCATCACACGCGTCCAAGTACTCCACAGCGTGGCTGGCAAGAAAGGGTATAAAAGAAGAAAATCAAATGACATGGCCTCCTTGTTCACCTGATCTGAACCCCATTGAGAACCTGTGGTCCATCATCAAATGTGAGATTTACAAGGAGGGAAAACAGTACACCTCTGAACAGTGTCTGGGAGGCTGTGGTTGCTGCTGCACGCAATGTTGATGGTGAACAGATCAAAACACTGACAGAATCCATGGATGGCAGGCTTTTGTGTGTCCTTGCAAAGAAAGGTGGCTATATTGGTCACTGATTTGTTTTTGTTTTGTTTTTGAATGTCAGAAATGTGTATTTGTGAATGTTGAGATGTTATATTGGTTTCACTGGTAATAATAAATAATTGAAATGGGTATATATTTGTTTTTTGTTAAGTTGCCTAATAATTATGCACAGTAATAGTCACCTGCACACACAGATATCCCCTAACATAGCTATAACTAAAAACAAACTAAAAACTACTTCCAAAAATATTCCGCTTTGATATTAATGAGTTTTTTGGGTTCATTGAGAACATGGTTGTTGTTCAATAATAAAATTAATCCTCAAAAATACAACTTGCCTAATAATTCTGCACTCCCTGTAGTTATATATTTAAACCATTGTTTCCAGAGGCTATCTACCTGGATTTTGTGCAGAATAAACACAAGTTGCGGAAAGCTTATTCCTTTTGCTTGCGATAATGTCCGAAGTAGTGAATGTGAAGAGGTCACTCATCTAACAGTTGGTTTGCTTGCCTCTTGAAAGGATTCTGGATTTTACTTGTTTTGAAAGTGCAAGTGAAGTACCTAAATAATAATGTATTTTCAGTAAAGCTTTAAAAAGTGTCATCTCCTGGCAAGATGGAATTGTCCATTGATTGATTTATATTTTTTTCACACTCTGCGTGCAAAACCCATTACTATGTCATCATCTCTATGGAACATTGACTATCTTTGATTATGTTTTACTTCTTCATTGCTTCACCCCATATTCTGTGGAGTCATGCACTTAAAATACCCGTACATGGGCTCAGGCATATAGAGACAACCTGGAGCAAAATTCGAAAAGAGGAGCATTCAGCAGGACATTTCACTGGTTTCCATAGTAACTGCACCACAGTGGAACTTTGCCCCAAAATTGACCTCCATAATGACTATAATCAAACAGATGCAACAAGGAAACAGGCTTCAAGTATTCACGTTCATAAAACTATTCACGGTAGCACCGTGTAATAAATAACATGACAAAGATTTTCATCTCATATTTGATTAAAGCATAGAGAATGTGGTTTTAGTAAACACAACACATTTTGTAAAACATGAAATCCAATTTGGTTTCTACGATATTTCGTACTTCTACGTCATATTTTCGTACTTCTTTATTGTATACTACAGTCTGACAATATCTTCATGTTCTGGTGTCTTTCAATTTGTTTATTCTAAACTGCAAAACTCAATTTCTAGTTATAAAAGTCTGGCCCAACTGCTCTATGCAAAATCCGACTTCTTCCACATGAAGAAGGGGATGTGCAGGTCCATTAGTCAATGTTCCAAGTATGAAATAAATGTTTCCTTTGACCTCACGTGTCTACAAAGTCTCTAGAGTATAAGCTGCCTAAAGTTCTGGATGGTAGTCACCTGGAACAGTTTTCCAGCCATGCTGAGCAGCAGGGGTGTCGATTAAGTAGCACGGATCGGTGGCCATGGTTTGCAAACTCCGGATACATCCAGAGGGGATGGGTTTCTTGCTGGCTACTGCTTTCCGTTCTAAGAAACGGATCATTTCAGCAGAAAACTGTAAAGTGTTCATGGTTCTATATTAGGAGTAATTATAAAAACAAGGCTATGTCTCCGTACCACAAACCGTACATTCAATATAGAAACTGAGGGCTTATTGCCCTGGACTTTACCCAAAAGTTAGAAGAGTCTTGCTGTTTATCCACTGCAAACTTAGAAAAATTAGTGGGGCCCACCTTGGAGTTTAGGAGGTCGCAGTGAAAGTAAAATAAAGGAAAATTATTTTAGAGGAAGCATTAGGTATTGCAAAACATTGAGTTATACATTATGTTATGTATAATATTACAAATGCATATGAAAACACTTCATTTAAAGGACCTATGTATTCACCCATGTATTTAAAAAGTTCGGAAAAGGGATCCATATGGCAAACGTAAAACAGACACATTAAGAAATTTAGAGAACAGTACCCATATTATAACTTGCAAAACTATAAATTTAGCATAGATGCTATTGTTTAAGGGAAACTGTCACTTGCCAGAATTTGAGAAGTCTGAAAATAAAATTAAGCATATAAATCCACACACCTTTATTTACCACTATTCTTCTCCATCTTAACTCCCTGTCAATCATTGTTATAAACTTTGCTGTTTTTGGACATTTATAAAAACATTTTTTTTAAAACCCAGCCTTTGCACCTGTCAGTCACCATAGAGAGAGAGAGGAGGAGAAATAGACACAATGTATCTATTTCTTGTCTTCCAATGCAATGTGTGCCCTGGCTGTGCCATGATATATCTGGATTGTGATCTCAATTGCTAAATCTTTAATACACATTTAAAAGAAAGCAGAAAAAAAATAATACAAGTTATAGGTGATTTTTAATGTTTTTTTGTAGGGTGTAATTTCCAGTGAATTAGCAGTTGCCCTTTAACACATCATAATGACAATTTAAGGTTTCATTAGAATACTTGTGTGCAAAAACTGCTTCCTCATGCAATTTTTTATTGAGGTCTCATTGTTTGGGCAGGAAGAGCTCTTCATACCCCCAAGCAACTGCCACAATAAATGGCTGACTTTAAATGGAAACTATAGTGCTAGGACTAAAACGTTGTATTCTAGCTCTATAGTACCCTCTGTGTCCCTCCTGACCTCCTCCTACCCCTCCCCCCCCCCAATAGATAAAAGTTTAAAACGTTACCTGATTACCGCATTGATGTCCCTTGGCGCTGAGTCTGGCTCCGCCTCTGCTCCTCCTACGTCTATGTTAGCTGGCAAGGTAAACACCACGAGCGCGTTAGGACTTTGCCATATGAAAGCATTAAATCACTACTTTCGTATGGTGTTTTAGCTGACGCTGGATGTCCTCATGTAGATAAGAAATTGGACTCAGAATTATTCATGGAACAGGAAATCCAGGTAAATATTACAAATGTTTATATTTTTCTTATTAATAAAGGGCTGATTTTTACATGTTTCCTTAGATAGGGGACATTAATGCATTGCGTCATGGTAGTATACCATTTTAACTGGCTTTTGACAATTTTAAAAAGGTTATGCCACTCCAATCTAATGACACTCCAATCTTGTGACTCACCTAGTGGCCATGTGTGGTACAGAATGTAGAAACCCAACAGAAACACAACCCCTCTATCAAAATTATTGTTATTAGAGCAGGCCAGAAGGATTTTGCCAGCCTATCCATATCCATAACTTTAGGGGGTAATTTCACTCACATTTCATATAATTTAAATTTTTCTGATGAGTCAATAGCTTGCTGATTAGAACGATCTTTTCACCTGCCTATCATTAAATAAAATGCATCAAAATAAAAATAATTGAAAAATAACTAACACAGTTTTCTTGTCTAAACGCACACGGGCAAACATCAAAACACAAAATGATTTTACTGCCTGTACATTCCATCTCAATAAAAATCCAGCGGGAAAGTAAATACGCAAGCAGTTATTTAATTTAAGCCTGCAGAAGTTCTTTGATATGTTACATGTATTTTATTTTTCATATGAGCAGGTTCAACAAACAACAAATAATCGTGCGTATATACAATAAGGCTATAATTCGCACTTTCTGTTTCATTCCTCTTTTGTTGTTGATGGTTAGTGTTTAATTAGTTGCTTAATTGCCTGGGTAATTGGTAGACAAAGTCTTCTCTCCAAGTAATCAGTCTGAACAGGCTTGGAAAATATCTGGCCCAATAGTCATTAGTACGGCTAAATTGTTAAAAAGTCTCTGTGTTTGAATCCAGACAAATGCCTCGAAACATCTGTATCTTTTGCCTTATATAACCGCACCTTGCATCAATGGGCATGTGGGTAATATACGAAGTGATTAATACATGCACAGGTTTTTGTTTTTTTTTTTATTATTTTTAATCCAATTGTGGAAAAGAAAATGTCAATATGTGAACAGTGATAACAAATTAAACAAAAATCTATTCATATTAAACAAGAGCAGGGATATTTTATAAACATGGGATTTAAACGGCATCACAGTTAAATAAATGAAATCTATATAGTAGTATTTACTTGCTATAATTAAAAGAAACCTGTACAATTGTATGCATATCTTTATATCTATATGTAAATATATGGTAAATATAACACTTTCTCAATAAAATCACATATGCTCAGTATTAATACATTTATGTATATTCTTACTCTATTAATACAGAGGACAAGTGTAAACATCTGGGGTATTATTAAGTATTTTAGGTTCTATGTTGTGGGGCTTATTCACTAATAATTGGATTTTCATAGAAGCCAATTCTCATTGATTGGCACAGTTTATTTAGACTAAAATTTATTGCGTATTTATTAAAATACATTTTGCCACCTGATGCTTCGGGTTCCAGACGTAGATTATCAATATAAATAAATTTTAAAGAGCTCAGGTTCTCAATGAACTCCCTAACCCAGAGTGAGGTCAGCATGTCAAATGTTATAATTATTATTTATATAGCGTCAATATTGTGACGAAAATCCCTCTTTATGTGTACTATTTCTTCCATATTCATTCGGTAGATATAACTACCGAAAAGAGACCACCCCCTGGCTCGTTAAACTTCAAAGAATGCTTCAATTGAACCCTCTATCTGTGCGGCCAGCGTTCGTACTACCGAACGCCACATGGCTGAGAAAACGGTGGCCATCTTTTTTCAGGCGAACAAAGGCAGCGGGACTTGGTCGTTGAGTGTCTGGAACTAAAATCGGACACTCGACTTCCCGAACACCGGTCTCAACAAGCGAACGCTGGATCTCTATTTCCCGAATAGATAAAAGAGCGCTATTCGGTACTTTTGTGCATTCGAATGAGGGGAACAATCGCTGCTAAAAGCCAGGGGAATCCATTCATGGAATTATTCAGTTTTTGCCACTTAACTGAATAGACCGGCAAAACCACCCAAACTCCTGGAACTGTGCTGGGCAGCCACCTCGCGGTTAGCCGGTCACAAAGGACTTCCACACTTTTTGAGAACCCTGAACATATTATTTGTGGGGATACCCCATGTCTAAAGGGGTGTTCTGGATATTGGGGAAAATTTAGATTTTTCTGCCTGGAGATAATCAAGTTATTACTTTATCAGACTTGATTATCTCCAGAACTAGGGGAGGGAATTGTATGTTTGTGCTGGGTGTGTTTTACTGTTTTCCTGTAACTGATTGGTTATACTGTGTCCCTCCCTGTGGGATGTCCCCTTGCATGGGGACTTGCATAAAAGCCTGTGTGTGATCATTAAAAGCCAGTTCTGTTGTACTCTTCTTCTTGACTTCAGCTGATATTTGGGGATTCGTAGGCTTTATTAGGGGAATTATCTTGTAAAGCTATTTGTTTTCGTATGGATTTCGTCTATTCTATCTATCGAACGGAGGGCTGTACTCACTGATGCTCTGGCGGTTCGGGAGGAAACTACCGAATGAGGATTGAATATACTAGGTTTCCTTACAACTGGTGGCAAGCGGAGGGATTCGAATCCCGAATGGACGTCCTGAACCAAGCAAGGGAATGAATGGCTCAGCAATACCAGCTACTTCAAAGATCCACGCTAAAAGATTTACTGGAAGCTCGAGGCGTAGTGGCAAGTAACAAGACAAAAGCCACGTTAATTGCGGATTTAATACAGAGCGATTGAACCAGTAATACAGAGATGGAGCACAAGGAAGAAACCGAGATGCAAAAGGATATCAGATGGATGCTCAGTGTATTGGGAAACGGCTATGTTTCACTGAGGGTTAATCCAGCCTCTGGTGGCTGTCTCATTGACAGCTGCTAGAGGAGCTTCCGCGATTCTCACTGTGAAAACCACAGTGAGAAGACACTGAACGTCCATAGGAAAGCATTGAGTAATGCTTTCCTATGGGCGGTTTAAATGCGCGCTCGCCTCTTGCCGTGCATGTGCATTCAGAGCTGAGAGGCGGAGGGATCCCCAGCGCCAAGGGAGTTTCCGACTCTGGAGAAAGGTAAATGCTGAAGACACACACACTCTCACGAACAGACGCATACACACTAGCTAACAGACACACACATTTACTGAGTGAGGCTGGGAGCAGAGTGAGGCCGGGAGCCGGAATATGACGTCATCAACCCGGCTCCCAGCCTCACTCTGAGGCACGCGAGGGAGCTGAGCAGACCGCTAAGAGGAAGAGCTCCCTCGCCAGTCGCCCGCACAGCAGCCAGCCCATCAGCCCGACCGACAGCCACTGGACCCCCAGGGAGATAATGAAACCCCCCCCCAACACTCCCAAAGGTAAGAAGGCTGGGGGGGTTAAATAAAAAAAAAGTGTTAATGTGAGTGATTGTGTGTGTCTGACTGTGTGTGTGTGTGTCTGACTGTGTGTGTGTGTGTGTCTGTGTGTGTGTGTGTGTCTGACTGTGTGTGTGTGTGTGTGTGTCTGACTGTGTGTGTGTTTGTGTCTGACTGATGTGTGTGTGTGTGTGTGTGTGTGTCTGACTGTGTGTTTGTGTCTGACTGTGTGTGTTTGTGTCTGACTGTGTGTGTGTGTCTGTGTGTGTGTGTCTGACTGTGTGTGTGTGTGTGTGTGTGTGTGTACTGTG